TGCACCCTGGGCAACGTATACTCATACGGCAAAAAAGTCTATTAATCAGCAGTTGACTTCTCACTTCAAACTACCATCACCCCACTGTATGTCATATTCCACCACTTCCACAGTACTCATCTAACCTCTTTTCTGCTCTTTTGTCTGTCTCTGTCACATCTGTGAATCGTTATTCTGTCCCCCCCTCTCGACTTTTTGTCACTTTGATGTTCCTCCTCCTCCTCCTCCTCTCTGTTAAGCCCCGAAGTCAGCTCCAGGGCTAATGATACCTGTCAAAACGCCTGCCATTTGAAATAAATAAATAAATTTTGTTTACATTTTACATTTTAACAACCGAACCTAGATCTACATTGTCTTAATGCCAGAATAAGGGATATTTTTTTTCAAATGTCCTTATAATGTATAGTATAAAGTGAAACTAAAAAGAAAAAAGCTTTCATGAGAAATGGGTTCAAAATTATATAAAAGTGAAATTTTCGATAAGAGAATACATTACCAAATGATTTATTAGAACAAGTAATTATTACAAGAAACCAAATACGTTAGATCAAAATTTTAAGACTTTCCATTTGCAGTGTATAGGGTACCAAAAAAATATGAACGACTAAACTGGTGAGATTATATTTACGTACCTGGATATATGGATCGCCCCGATTGACAGTCGACATGGGAATTGAGTGGGCACTGAAGAGGATAACCGTATCCTTCTTATCATACGGTGGAGGCATAAAAGAGAGCTCATGACGGATATTGTCAGCAAACACTTGAACCAGTTCAGGCATTACAGTAGGCCACCTATCCAGAAAAGACCAAATGGGTCCAGGAGGTGTTGGAACTCCACTAATTTGATTTTTCGGTGGTGAGATTATATCAATATTCGCCAAACCACCGCATTCAGGTTTGTTGTAATGTGCAGCAATGGCATTGAGACTGCTACCTGTTGTAGTACAGCTATACTGTGGAAACTGACTGAACGCCACGACTCTCTCAACACCATCTCTAAAATCAGCAATCATCGGATCAGTAACTATCTTCTAAACTACGAAGTAGATGAAAATCTAACGTACTTACTCTTCAATCTCATTAACAGCCTCTTCAGTAAGAGGATGAACATATCTCAAACCTAGATAATACTTATGAGGAGCAGTCTCTGGACTAATTGCGTCCAAGGTTCGAACTAGAGCCTTTCCTTGGCAGGTCATCCATTGAACAAGGGGGGAACCCCCACCAATTTCATCATACTTCTCCCGAATTTTCGAAGTACGGCGTTTAGCAACCCATTTGGCAAGGGTTCTAACAGTAAAAAGATGACAAATCAGACAAACTTTTGGAAGGGAAGATGAAAAATCTCCCGATCACAGAAAAGTCTAAGAAGAAAGTTATAAACATCTGCAGTAGTTTCGGGTCCACCCATATTCAACAACAGAATTCCAGTTTTAGGCCTTATAACTGAATAATATTAATAATTATAGTTACTTCGGGGAAATAGAGTGGACGTGTCTATTTGCCTGACTAAAGAAAGGTCTAGATAGCATTGCGAATTTTTCCATTTCAGTACGATGTTAGAATCTCAGGTTAAAACCAACAAGATGATGGGATCCAATACCTAATTAATTGGTCCTTACTCATATGTCCTTCAATGTAACTTTCAGAATTATAATTTACATTTTTAAACCTGAAATTACTTACTAGTAATAATTAAACCCAAAAATGACTAGTTTCACATTTTATAAATATTAATAACCAATAGTTTGTGACTTTACTATGATATAACTTGCTTTTTTATGCGCTAGAGGCTCTAATTTTGGTTTAGAATTATACTTGAACAATAGAAAATGATAACAAGTTTTTAATTGTGAATATTTTAAAATCACTTGGAAACATCGACAAGACCGTTTGCTTGGATTGTGTTTAAAATTTTGCTTCTTATATTTAAAGTGAATGTATTACATTCAATTATTTCACTTGAGGTGAAGCCTCTTCTGTTTACCACAAAATTTTGGTAACTTGTGATTAGAATAAGTCTATTTTAACTAAAATATTTTATTTGTATGCAAAAGAGGACGTTTGCAAAGCTACTTATGGCATATGCTATTTCGACATCTACTTAACTGAAGTTTAATTCACGTGCTCTTTATTCAATCAAAATGATTTATTATGAATATAATTAATTATGGTTTAAATTCATTAAGATGGCTTTAATATGTTAACTAATGCTGTCGAAGTTATAACAATGTCAGAACATTATGTGGCATAACCAAATCCTCAAATAAAAATAGACGAATCCAACCTCTATCCTGCTTCTCTATTTCTCAAAAAAAACTTTTACCTTCAATAGAACCTGCACATATTTTTTCAACGCATAGCATAATATATGGAACAGTCATTGGCACAAACATAACTTTAATAGTGTTCCACTGTTCGGGAAAACCATCATTGGTGACATTTTACATCTATTATTGAAACATCATTAAGGCACTGTGGATTGGGCCTTAACAGGATGAATAATTCAAGTTACTCTTGCCTCTCAATGCGTTCATAGGTGACTAGATATGCTTATTCGATTTAGCTTTTTGCAAATTGAGCTAAAATAAAATAAGATTCCTCCTGATTGGCGGTTATGGGGGTATCAATTTCAACCCCTGGACCTCATCGGTGAGATATTGGTGATAACGTTATTTTTCTATATCGTCAGATGTTACTTGGCATTTGTTGTTTATAGTAATTACATGCACATCATATTAGTAGGCTTCAAGAAACCATGTCATTTTTAATGCTCGGATATGCATCATTTAGCCACATTACTATGTGGCGGATTGCTCCGCTAGTAAAGCCTGACTGACTCAGAAATCTCTGTGGCAGATTCTCCAACATCTTGCTAGACTCCCAGAACCAGCTAAGCCATAGCCCAGTTATGAAAGGAAACAGACGTGTGGCACGGAGCACGTTTATTCAGTACGAGTATTGCGGATAAAGTGTTCATGCAGGAAGCTTAATAATGATCAGGATGGGGGATTAGGTTAAACAAACAGAGGTTATGTTGGTCACTGTTTGTACGGTCGCACCTCCCAATCCTGGCGTGCAGGCATGCGATGACGTGTTAAGCTATGACGTGTCCCACAACTACCGCAAGTTGAATTGCAGTCAAAATCAGTCGTTCGTTTGAATTGAAATCGTTGCTTATTAGAGTAGAAGTAATTAAGTGCCATTTTTACCTAAATATGTATATTAAAACGCACCGTGGTCGATCTCCTTTACTCTTTATTACTTTATGGATAGGTTTGTCTTCTCTTGTACTCTTGTACCCAGATGCTCGATTGATATAATAGGAAGGTGGATTAAAATGCTATTAAACTAATTCTATGGTTTATTTATTTACATTCCTTTTTCTAAAGCGGCCTCACTGCTGTCTATACACATTTGTAATCTGTATTTCCACATGCAAATCCCCCGCCCCATGGCAGAATTTTGGAGACTGTCTCTGGCACCATGATATTATATGCGTTTCGCTCCTTTTGAATCCTAAAAATAGTGCCCGTGACCTTCTTAACGCACCTTTCAGGTTTGAACTTGACAGATCTAGATGCTGTCTTTGGATATCACTCTCTTAATTGAATTTTAATGTCAGCATCAAATTGATAGATTCAGATTTCTTAAAATATCTTCCTCATTTGCTTCCATCTTTGCCAAAGCTTGTAAGAAAATTTCAGCTCTATGGATCAGTTATTGTTCCTAGAACGCTTTTGGAATCCATCCATCCCGCCGAGAGCTTGCTCAAGTCAAGCTTTTCACAGTGAATTTAAAATTCTGATCCGTATGTCATTCCAATTTTATATACAA